CAGCACTCGGGAGGCAGAGGCAGGCAGATCTCTGTGAGTTCAAGGCCAGCCTGGTCCACAGTGAGTTCCAGGTCAGCTGGGGCTATAGGGAGACCCTGTCTCAAAAAAAACCAAAAGAAAGACTCCCAATGGCTCAGACTGGTCTCAAACTCACTGTGTAGCTGAGGATAACCTTGAACTCTTGATCCCTGCCTCTTGTAAATACTGGGATTATGGCTATGTATCACTACTCCAGGCAAACTGTTGCTTTCCTGCCACAGGATCTCACCATGTAACCCTGGCTGCTCTCTAACTTCTAATCTTATGTCAGCCTCCTGAGTAATGAGGTTACAGGTGAGTACCACCATGCCTAAATTAAAACATGACTTTTTGAAAAATTTACTCATCCATTTTGTATGTGTGTGTGTGTGTGTGTGTGTGTGTGTGTGTGTGTGAGAGAGAGAGAGAGAGAGAGAGAGAGAGAGAGAGAGGCACGAGTGTGGAACTCAGACACAACTTGCAGAAGTCAGTTCTCTCCTTCTACCATGCGAGGCCCACGGATCAAACTCAGATTGGTGGCAGCAAATGACTTATCTACTGGGCCATCTCAGTGGCCCAAAACATGACTTTTAAGGGATAGCAAGATGGTTCAGAAGGTAAAGGTGCTTACTGCATAGTTTGATGATATGAATTCAATCCTGGGAACCCAACTGGTAGAAGACAACCAACTCCCGAAGGTTGTCCTCTGATCTCCACATGCACAGCCCCCCCAGTACCCCCTCCCCAATAAATAAATGTAAAAAATTTGAAAAATAGAAACTTATGCCAGGCGGATCTCTGTGAGATTGAGGCCAGCCTGGTCTACATAGTGAGTTCCAGGCTGGCTGGGACCAAGGAGACCCTATAAAAAAAACAAAAAACAAAACAACAAAAAAATCCCCAGAAACTTGAACAAATCTCATTCCTGCCTCCATGAAATTACTAATAGAAGACAAAAACCACATTATTCTACCCTCTTCATACTAAATGCTAATGATGACAGATCACCAAACATTCCTGTTACACACTCAAGAGTTCACACTGTTCTGGCTGTAGTTTAACCTTTATACGGTGCTTAATTAACTAAGCAAGCTCATCCACCACATCTGGTGACAGGAAGAAACTGACCTAATGGACTAAGCTCAAAGCTCTGGAACAATAACTCTGGATTTGAATCTTCCTTGATTAGTTAGGGTACTAATTTCTGTATCAATGAATGAAAAAAGAAGTCATTCATAGCTGGATTTTTTTAGGATGATAAAGAAAACTACTAGGGTCCTCACCGTTTCATTCAGCAAACTGAGCTTTTATTACGTAACTTGTCCTATAATACAAAGTGCACATTATCATCAAAATGTAGCTTCTCATTTCACAGAGGGTAAGAAACAATCATTCTTGTTAAATGAAGATGAAAGCTTATTTGAATTCCATGGCCAGATACTTCAGTTTAATATTTGACAAGCTTAATTTTGGATGAGAAACATGATTTAAATACCAGATCTAGTATCAATCAAGTAGTGAGTGCACAATCTAGCCAGTCAGTTCATACCCAAAATTGGGGTCTAAATTTGGACTTCCAGTGTCAATAAGGAACTAAGTCATGTCTTACAATACTAGTTTTTTTGTTGTTGCTGCTTTGTTTTGAGATAGGGACTCACTATGTAATGACACAGTTGCTTCAACCTCCCAAGTGCTGAGATTATAGGTGTATGATACCATGCCCGCTTAGCCCAGTTTTAATACACAACAAAGTCCCACTTACCCTGAACTCCTGATCATTTTTCTTCCACCTCGCAAATGTTGGAATTACAGGTATTGCTCCTCCTTCCCTTCTTTTCTTTCTTTCCTCCCTTCCTCTGCAGTGCTGAGAATCAAGCCCAGGGCTTCATGCATAGTAGATAAGCACTCTATTACTAAATTACTAAACTAAGCTTTCGTAACAGCTCATCTTTCTTTCATTTGTGTGTGTATGTGTGTGTGTGCGTGTGCGCGCTCTCGCACATGCAGGTATATGCATGCACAATGTCTGTGGCGGTCAAAGAACAACCTAAGGCAGTGTTGCTGAGGTGCTTTCCTCCTTTTGTTTGACACAGGGACTCTCACTAGTCTAGAGCTTTACCATGTGGGCTAGGCTGGCTGGCCAATGAGCTCTGGCCACCTGCCTGTCTCCATCTCCCATATCACCATTACTGGAATTACAGGTATGTGTCACCTTTTACATGGGTTCTGAGGATCTAAACTCAGGTCCTCATGCTTGTGAGGCAAATATTTTACCAACTGTGCTATCTCCTTAACCCATTTTTCTTTTTCTTCTTCTTAATACAACAGGTTAAGGAATTTATCATTCTATAAAAATGTACATTGGAGCCTGGGAGATATGGCTGAATGGGTGAATGTGCATGCCATCACCCTGAGAACCTGAGTTCGACCCACATGGTAGGAGAGAACTGACTCCTGCAAGTGGACCTCTGACCTCCACATGCACACCCTCCTCCAAATTAATAAATGAATGTAATAAAATTTTTTAAAAAATTGGCTGGGCATAGTGGCGCATGCCTGTAGTTCCAGCACTCAGGAGGCAGAGGCAGGTGGACCTCTGTGAGTTCAAGGCTAGCCCCACTACAGGGAGACCCTACAACAAAAACACCAAAAAAAAAACAAAAACAAAAAAAACCTACAAGAAACAAACAAAAACATTGGAGTGATCTCTGAAAGCACTTTAAAGAAGCTCTATTCCAACCAAAGCATTCTGTAGATCCTGCTCTTTGTTTCCATGGAGCACAATCACCACAAAGGAAAATGGAATGCCAAGAATTTATGCTATAGCATCTCACATTGCTGAATTTACCTTCAAGTCCCAGACTTCTTCTGGGAAGAAGTTAAAAAACAAACAAACATCAAAAAATAAGTCATGAAATACAAGCTACTCAGGAAATTCCCTGAGAATCACTTGTGCCCAGAAGTTTGAGGCAAGCATGGGAAATACAGCCAAACTCCATATATATATATATATATATATATATATATAAAGCCGTGCGTGGTAGTGCACACCTGTAGTCCCAGCACTTGGGAGGCAGAGGCAGGCAGATCTCTGTGAGTTCAAGGCCAGCCTGGTCTACATAGTGAGTTCCAGGCCAGCTGGGGCTACAGGGAGACCCTGCTTCAAAAAGACAAAAATAAATAAATAAATAAATAAAATTTTGTTTAAAAAGGCTAGAAAATAGCTCAGTGGTGTAGCAAGTACTTGGCTAGCATGTAGGATGTCCTAGGTTCAAGCCCCTGAACCACAAAACAAATAAGGCCAATAACATGGCTCAGAAGATAAAAACACATGCTGCCAAGCCTACAAACCTGATCCTTGGGACACACACAGTGGCAGGAGAGAATCAACTCCTGCAGATTATCCTCTAACCTTCACATGTATACTACGGTATCTACTAACTCCCCCCTCCCCCAACAAAAATAAATTTTTGTTTTTCCTGAACCACAAAACAAATAAGGCCAATAACATGGCTCAGAAGATAAAAACACATGCTGCCAAGCCTACAAACCTGATCCTTGGGACACACACAGTGGCAGGAGAGAATCAACTCCTGCAGATTATCCTCTAACCTTCACATGTATACTACGGTATCTACTAACTCCCCCCTCCCCCAACAAAAATAAATTTTTGTTTTTCCTTCTCTTTTTGAAGCAGGGTCTCCATGTAGCCCCAGCTGTCCTGGAACTCTATGTAGACCGCAGGCCTTGAACTCACAGAAATCTGCCTGCCTCTGCCTCCCAAGTGCTGGGACTACAGGTGTGTGCCACCACGCCTGGCTAATGTTTTTTTTTAATTTTTATTTTTTTAAAAACCACTGGATAGGGGCTGGAGAGATGGCTCAGCAGTTAAGAGCACTGAATGCTCTTGCAGAGGACCCGGGTTCGATTCCCAGCACCCACATGGCAGCTACGAACCATCCTTAACTCCGGTTCCAGGGGAATCCGAAGCCCTCTTCTGACCTCCCCTGCACTGCACAACACGGGTGCACACACCTGCATGCAGGCAATACACTCACACACATAAAATTAAAAAAAAACATTAGCCAGGCGTGGTGGGACACACCTGTAGTCCCAGCCCTTGGGAGGCAGAGGGAGGCGGATCTCTCTGAGTTCAAGACCAGCCTGGTCTACATAGTGAGTTCCAGGCCAGCTGGGGCTACAGGGATACCCTGTCTCAAAAAGACCAAAAAATAAAAAAAATAAAAAATAAATAAATAGCTTATTTAAAAAAAAAACAAAAACAAAAAAAAACACTGGATGGGGAAAATGGCTGATGACTATAATTCTAACACTCTGGAAGCTGAGGCAGGAAGACTGCTAAGAGCTTGAAGCCAGCCTAGACTACATAGTTGTACACTCAAATAATAAACAAAATGGATAAACAATGTGGTATATATACAATGAGATGTTATCCTGTTTGAGGCCAGCCTGGTCTACATAGTGAGTTCCAGGCCAGCTGGGGCTACAAAAAGACCAAAAAATAAAAAATAAAAAATAAAAAAAAGGTTGCTATTGAGAGATGGTAAGAAGATAATTCCTGGGCTGGAGAGATGGCTCAGCAGAAGACCCAGGTTGGAATCCCAGTATACACATGGCAGCTAACAACTGTCCGTAACTCTAGTTCCAAAGGATCCGATGCCTTCCTCTGTCCTCCACAGGCATTGCACAAAACGGGTGCACTTAAATACATGCAGGGAATACAATCATACACATAAAATAAAAATAATAAATAAAATTAAAAAAAAGAAGATAACTCCTTTGACTAGAAGACAATTACAAACATGAAAAGACACAGCAGCATATTACCTGGATATCACATACTTTAGACCAAGAATGCTCAACTTTAACACTACTGACATTTAAGGTTGCTTCATTTTTTTCCCCCTCTTTTGGTTTTTTTGAGACAGTCATACTATGTAGTGCTGGCTGGTCCAGAACTCACTATGTAGTCCAGGCTGGTTTCAAACTCAGAGATCCACTTGCCTCTGCCTCTTGAGTGCTGGCATTAAAGGCCTGTACTATCATACTGCCATGCCTGGCCTTCTTTTTTGTTTTTTAAAGATTTATTTGTGTGAGTGTGTGTGTGTGTGTGTGTGTGTGTGTGTGTGTGTAGGTATGCTCAGTGACTGCAAATGCCCACAGAAGCCAGAAGAGGGCACTGGATCCCTTAGAGCTGGAGTTACAAGTGGCCCTGAGCAGCCTGACATGGGTGCTGGGAACTAAACTAAATTAAACTGCAAGAGCAGTATGTGTTCTTAACCACTGAACCATCTCTTCAACACTAGGATAGAATAATTCTTTGTTAAGGGGCCACTGAAGGATATTTGGCTACATTTCAGCAGCATTTCCCAATCATGACCATCAAAAATGCCTCCAGACATTTTGTCTCTGGGTGGCTAAAATAGCCTTCAGACGAGAACCTTTTTCCCCAGGCTTTTTGAGCATTTTCCTATAGCCACAGCTGGCCTGGAACTTGCTATGGAGACCAAGCTGGCCTTGAACTCAGAGATCTGCATGCCTCTGCCAAGTGCTGGGATTAAAGGCATGTGCCACCATGCCCAGCTTCCTGGGGTTTTTTTGTTTGGTTGTGTTTTTTTTCTGTCTTTTCAGATGAGAAACTTTAATCTAGACAGAAATACTAAACATCTTGTCTACCATTAATAAACATAACGTTATGTTCCCTAGGGTTATGTGTTGGGACATCAGAGAAGACAAAGTAGCCTAGACCACGAATTCATCAACTTCACAAAAGCCAATATTTAAGAAAGGGCTGTGGGAAAAAAGCTTGCAAAGAGAGCAGAAATTTGAAAACACATTTTTAGGACAAGAACATTAGCCACTTGAACTAAGTAAGGGAAACTGGAATAAAGCAGCAAATTCCTAGCAATAAATGTAGTGTCACTTGTTCTGCTTACTCAGTTCTCCTGTGGACCAATGATGTTTAAACATCAGGGCAGAAATCGTTCCTGCCCTCCACATGCTGGACACCTATTACATCTATCTGTGGGATAAAGGCAGCTAATCAGACACTTGCAGGGAGTTTCTGGTTTCTGAGAGGAAAAATAAGGAAAGGAAATGCCCACCTGAGAGTTCCGTTCTCTCCTTTGTCCAGGCTGGTGAACCGGCTGTACAGGCGAGTGATCTGACTGTGGGAAACTAAAGAGCACAGAATTAGTTACAACTGAAGTAGGCATGCATGCATACTATACCCAGAGCTCACCATCAAATGCTTCAGTTTGGGGAACATGGGGAGATGTGCAACCCTAAATAATCTCTAGAATATCAAAGCAGCAAACTAAAGGAAAAAAAAAAAAATAGAGCAGGAGGAGTTAGACAAGAAACTAAATCAAAACCAGTAAAAACTGGCTCTTAAGAATGAAGCGTAGAGACCACCTGAGTGCCTGTTCCGGCCTGCCTCTGGCATAGGGGCTGAGAACTCAGGGGACCGCCTGAGAGTGCCTATATCCTACCCCCATGTGGTGAAGCCTTTGAGAGGGAACTGACACTGATTCTAGCCACTCCAACAGCTATTAAAGTGCCTGAAAACAAATCCCGAATCCATCACTCTCAAGTGCAGCCTTAGCAGACAAAAGAAAAAATGAGGAGGAACCCAATAGAGAGATGCTTTTGGAAGCTCTCATCAAGAAATCCCAATGGACTCTGATATGAAAAATTGAAATTTTCCCTGTTCTGACTTTTTTCTGGTTCCCTGTCTAGAACTTGTAATGCTAATTACTCTTGCCTTTATTTCTCCTTCACATCTCCTATTCACCAGTCAAGGACTTTCTTTTCTCCCTACAGATAAGTTATGCAATTTGGGAGTCTTTTAGATAGACCCACTTAAGGGGTACCCCAACTGCCTCACCCTGCATCCCTGTTCAGCATGGAAGAAGCCAGAGCGGTCTGTGTCCCAATTCCCTACCGGCATTTTGGGTAACCTCTTCAGAGGATGGTGTGATAAAAATAGGAGGCTAGGCAATTGTAAAAAAGACCCTAAAGAAAAGTAGCCAGTTTCTTGACTAAAAGTCAAAACGTCCTTGGGCCTTTTAGCAACATACTATACTCCAAAGGCCAAAGCTATCGAAAATATTTGGGAGCTTTTATCTAATCCCTAAAGATTTTAGGGTTACCTCTTCAGGAGAGGGAATGTTAGAGTAGCAAAAAGTCCCAGAAAAAAGAAAGAAAGGAAGGAAGGAAGGAAGGAAGGAAGGAAGGAAGGAAGGAAGGAAGG